CGTGTTGGCACAGAAAATATGTGGACGCGCCGCTATCTGCTTAGTGATGAAGTGCCTGTCACTGTGTGCGGACGTCTATAGAAGCCATGGGCATGACGATTAGGGCACGAGGCGGTAGAAATCCTGGCCTTCTCGTGTCTCCTACCAACAATTACTTGCATACTCCAAAAACTTTAGTGTGGATCTATAACACGAGCAGCGGACGGCGTTATGAATGCAAACAAACAAGCCTTACGAAGCCAAATCTTCTCTCCCCAAATCAGCTTAGCAACAAACTGGGGCGATTTCAGAAGTGGGAGGTACCAAGGTGAGGGACACTTAGTTGAGGAAACGGCAGAAAGGGGAACGATACGACCGAATCGTTGATTCGGCAGTACGTAGTGTTGAATACGAGGGGAGTTTGATGGAGCACCCGGCAAAGATACGCTTAGGACAAGCCGCGACGTCCAACGAATCTGTTGGCATAAAAAAAATCAAAAAATTGTACAATACGTACAAATTAAGTCGCTAAAAGTAAGAACTTACATTGCTATAAAAAGAAAGGCTGTATTTTGACATTTGACACATTGAGGCAGTGAACAGTGGAAAACGCAAAAGTATGAGCGGTGCGCAGAAATTAAATGAACCGAAAACCGACACACGAGACCAACTAAACTGACGCATAAAGTGGCACAGCAGGTGGAGACTGGAAAACCTACCCACTTTCCCCAGACTTTTATGGGGCTACAATTTCTAGTCGAATGACATCACAACCCTTCGTAGCCTTGCTCGCGAACTCACATAGGACAATTATAACCAAGATTCCACATTAATCTGGGGTCCCTCGGAAACGTGACAAACGCTCTTTCTCTCAGACACAAGTGATGGACACCCGTGTAGGCATACTGAGCCCCTAACGCTTTCTTGGCAAAAATTATGCACAACTCTATGTCAGATCCGCATTTTATCAACACCAGCAGCCAAGTAGTGCTGAAGACGAGTCAAATGGCCACGGGTGTGAATCAGTAAAACACGAGTGCTTAACAAGAGACACGAAGGTGGACTATGCGAGAGGAAATGTGACTTCGGGGATAGTTTACACGGGAACAGCATTGGTTGGTGGTTATAAGCATGCATGGGAAGCCTGAAAGTGAACAGTACGCACCTCTATGGAATTTTCCAGAAGTTTGCCGAGCGAGTGGGGCAGCGGTAGAGGCAGCAAAAGCTCGTCTGTTGGGTATGTAGCTACAGCAAGTGGAGCAAGGGCAGCACCTCGAAGGACTTCAGAGAGCCAACGCAGGACCATTGCAACTCCTGTCTGTCCGGGGAGGTTTTCGGGTGAGTCAGAGGACACGAGACCCATAATAATGCTCTCCGTTGAAACAGTTTCGCCAGCCTCTGAACCATCACTGACAACAAACGGCTCCCATTGCGTGGCAATAGTGAGTGGTTTGCCATTTTGCTCATAAAGAAGGTTTTGACGGAGCCAAAAAAGCTCTATGTCTACCTCAATTCGGTAAAAACGACAATGCGGTGAAGGTTGCAGGAGATTCTTAAGTGGAAAAAGTCAATAAGTTTCATGACATTTAAATCACAGCTGGACAAAATGCTTGGTCAATACGATAAGTCGCAAAATAGCATTACGCATTGTAACTTTCGCCTCATTGAGCGGAAAAAAGTGTTGAGTTCGGACTAAATCATAGCGTACAAGACGTTCTTCAAGGCTCTACAGAATTGACTGCCCGGGCTTGTGTGCTTGTAGAGCTCCCATCAAAACGCGCGTTTTGGCATTGACGTGGTGGAAAACAGCATCCCTTAAATTGCTAACTTATACACCCCCCTATTGATCGACCAATTTAGTTTAGTCAATGAGTGGCAGGAGGTGATAGAAATAGTAGCATGGTTCGGCTGCAGTGAATTTCAGTCAAGAAAATGGCTAGCACTTTACTTTTGCACATTAGCTGAGGCTAACGGACTTCATACGAATGTAAGTAAATAACTGGAATTTTTGAAGATGGTAGAATTCGAAAAAAATATTGACTTTCCATGAGGTCAAACAACGATACTAGTGTATACCTTAACTTGTCCAACTTCGAAGTGGAAAAAACAATAGCACTCACCCTGACCTTAGATGAGATGACACTTTCCGCCTGGAATTGAAAGAAACACGAGTCCTTCGGTAGCCTTTGAACAGCATTCACTCCAAAAGTTTCCGGTGCGAAATTCAAGATCGGATTAAGAATCCTTATTGGCGCCTCGTTAGAGGGGAGGAAGCGGATCTCAATGCCGACCTTAATGCATCGACCAATCACGAGTCTACCCAAGCCTACTTCAGGTCTGGCTGCCACGACGACGTTCGCGGCGAATTCTATTGAAAGTTGGGCGACAAGTGTCTGCGGACCTGGACACTGTGTGGCAGTGGGCCCTTGTAGCCAGGTTTCCCAAAACGCCCTGGAATCAGCTTTCAGCCAGAGTGTGCCACACGAACCACAGCCATCGGAGTCCTTTAGACCACAGTGTTCCACCGCGTGAAGAGTAAACATCTCAATCGGTAACTGAAAATAATATAGGAAAGGCAAATGTCTTAATGCGAAGCATCAGCTCACCTTCATTCAACATTAGTCATCACTCATTGGCTGTTACATATGCAGTGAGGGATTTATTAAGCCAACTGTTTTAAAAGAACTCATTAAGCAATCAATAAGAAGAGAGATGTCCTGTTGACACTTGATAGCTGTAAAAGTATTGTCCACCTACAGCATTCCTATTTAAATAAAGAAAACCACGAGTAAGAAAACACTTATTCGTAAGCATAAGTCCCGTTGAAAGTGGCACAAATTGGTGCGACATCCGGAATTAATAATGACCGGTATTACTTTCGCAGAAAACCTTAATTTAATAAGTTAATTTCGAAGCCAGTGATAAAACGAATAGGCAAATTAGACCAACATCAAAACGACCCATCAGTTGAGATTTGCGTGATGAATCATGCATTTAAATGGGTATAAGCGTGTGGTCTTTTTTCGATGAAATTTGCACTTTGGGCGTGTACTTTTAATTCAACAGTTGCCATCTCCTTCTAGAGCTGAGCACAGGGCCACAAGGCGCGACAAATGGAGAGCTTTTCGTCACTACAGTTCAGTTTTAAATGCTAAATAATACTTACACCTGCTTGCTATTCTGTGTACTGATGAAGTTGTACACATATAAAATGGATTGATTTGGAGTATAAGGTGTTGCTTTGGGGATAAGTTTAACTCACACAGAGACCTTTTGGGCATTGGCAACTTTTGGAATCAGAGAGATGCTTGGAAAACCGTTGACTTACTAAATTCTAAGCCCATTCAATAACATTAAGTAGCAAAAAAGTTTGCTATTCGTTAAACATAAGATTGTTTTGTTATGACGAGAGAGGCATCCCACGGGAAATATGTGCAGACATTACACCCGAACAATGATATTTCCCAGCAAATACAAGAAGGTGAAAGTGGCTGAAAGCACCGATAAAGTGCAAAAGTCAGATGCGCGAAGAAAGGCTTGGTTATCAAGACGCGCGGATAGAGACCCTACATCGGCAAGTCTCCACAAAATTACATTTGGTGCAGCTATGAAAAAGCTCCCAACATCTACGTTAGGCTAAGCTGAGGTTTATAGAATAACTTGTTGGCTGTGTACCGATACGAGGTCATTGCCTATTGGCAATAAGTGAAACTGTTGATTGTGTTGAATAAAGCCAATTGTTATCGGAAACATTTCCGAATTCTTGCAAATCATGAATTTTCTGCATATGTCAGTGCAGCTGATAAACGGTTCAACACATTATGAATATATCCACACAGTACCTTTCTTATCTAGCTTTTAACTTAAACATACTTAGACATATGTGTCCTTTGAAATTCCTTATGCTTTTGCAATTATTTTACCTGCAACGTTTAGGTTTCTATTGTGGTTTTATTACTTATCAGTGTCGTATTCCACCGCATATTTGACTTATATTTGCGTTTTACGCGTTCAATTGTGAATTTTTATATAAACTATGATATTTAATAAACACTGGCTAAATTATTTCGCTAATTATATTTCGCGAGTTTCTTTTTTTAGATAGTAAGTTGTTTTTTCAAAATACCTGCTCATTCAATTCTGATGGGATTTTTTTAACAAGAAATCAATTTAGTCGGCAAATATATATAACTCAATCAAGATAGAAACTGAATATTTTGAAAAAAAACTTTAAATATTGGTGAAAAATGAAACTTTTAAGTCAAAATATGATTGATTTGTATAACAACGGGTTTCCCCAGTAAGTCGACAAACGACAGCAATTTTGAGATATTTCTAAATGTATGACAAATCTTTTTTTATATTTTACAAATACGCGTATTTTTGGCTTTTATAACATGTATCGAACTAACTTCTGGTTCACGACAAGTTGATTAAAAAATATTGTAACCAAGTTATCGTATATATTCACTTTAAGTTAATTTAGTTCATATTGTCACCCAGTAAAATCTATTAACATAAAAACCAATATGCCAAGGGGCTGTTTGATTAATTGTTTACTATTTGCTTATGTAGACTCCTTAAAATGGGGTTTATACCATTGGTAATATAAAATCAGCAGGCTGATTTATTCACTTTGAATCCGAAGTTAACGAAAATTGCCCAATTTAATTAAGTTTAAAGTTGAAATTTTTGAAAAAAAATAATGATTTTTGTAAAAATATGTGGTGAGCCATATTGAACATACTGATGTGCTATCAGAAATGTGAACGAATTTTTTATATCGCACCCACCATTGAGTTTCATCAGAGAAAATTATAAGGAAGGCATAAGAAAAAAACGGTTGGATCAAAATTACTTTTTTTTGAAACAGAAAGGTATTATGCATTAATTCAAAGTAATTGACGTTTTTATCAGCAAATAAATTTTGTGGCACTCACTGAATTGCTGACATATCTCCACGTTGTTTTAAACAGTAAGTGGCGGGTTGAATCAGCTTTCGCGTGAGGTTTGTGTGGAAAATGAAGTTCAACAAGCTTGTTAGCTCGTCAAGTCGGAAGTCTCGCTTTAGACACTTTAATGCCCCATCACACATACGCCGACGTCTTATGAGTGCACCTCTTTCAAAGGAACTTCGAACAAAGTATAAAGTTCGTAGCATGCCAATTAGACGTGGAGACGAAGTCCAAATTGTGCGCGGTGAACGAAAGGAGAATTCTTCTGCCAAGGTTATTAAAGTGTACAGAAAGAAGTTCGTTATCCACATAGAACGTGTACAATGCAAGAAAAGCAATGGAGTGTATGTCCCTATAGGCATCCATCCCTCCAACGTAAGAATGCTTTGGTTTTATGCACTTTTAGGTTGTCATAACTAAGCTAAAGCTCGACAAAGATAGAAGAAACCTTTTGGAGAGAAAAGCTGCTGCTAAGCTTGCTGGTATGGATAAGAACAAGTACACAGAAGAGGTCTTGGAATCATAACCTGTAGTGTAAATAAAGGTTGGTTTCTACTTTTCAGTATTTTGCAGTTTGGTTGTCAGAATTGGGTTCGGTGCGTGTTTTCATCATACCTAGTTTGGACTTATACTAGATTTTTTACCAAGTCGATTGGTGAAATCGTTTCACTTGCTCTTACTTGTCCTCAAGGTTAATCGGCGCTTAAATTATACAGTGCCGTTTTTCTCCAAGCGAGTGTTTTGAATCTCGGTTAATAGGTTTGCTACGCGGTTAGCAATTTTTTGGGTCCTTGCGATCGCTGACTTTCCGCGGAACTGTCGCTTATTCGGGTGTAGTTGCTCATGCGTGTTCGTCTCCGAAGAGTCTTTTCACTTTACAAGATACACTGATGAAATGGTCGGTGGTTGCACCCGTGATGTTTGCACATGAACCGTCTAATGATTTTTTATGCTACATTTCGTTCGGAATTATCTTGTAAGTTGTAGCGGTTAGGTAGTCACTGAATTATTACATGTTAACACTCGAGGTCGTCGCATGAAATGTCAAGGTTTATGCTTCGCCAAGATTACAATAGTGGGACTATTTCCCGTTTCTGATGCGAATTCAGCCTAGCCATTTTCATTAAAACAAACCCTTATACGGAGTTTCGTCAAAGTGCGTGGGCCATAAAAGACACTAGTAGTAAAAAGTGGGCATGATTCTGGCGAATAGTTGAATTTGCCAGATCATCATGTGCGATTATGATTATGTTATCCAACTTGTCTACTTTTAAGATGATCCTTAAAGCTTTAGTAATGGAATCGGGTGTAAACCCAGGTACGCGATTCGACTATTGAAAACAGTTAACGGTGGCAAGCTCCTATGCCCCATCAGGGTGTCGAGCTCTGCCCCATTCGTTTTTCGCCTCATGTCGGGTTGCCTCCTATTAGTGCTATACCCTTTCGAGGTAATTAAATTAATTAAATCATCTGGTTGAAATTACTTGTTTGGTGCAAGTAAATTAGGCCAAAGTGATGGGGACCACGTCTCTTCCCTGGCGTCATTGTCTATGAGCACCCAATAGGATTATTGTATCGGGTGAGGTCAGAAGCACAATATCGTTAGTAGCTGTAGCTGGGCGCCTGTTACCATTTCCCAAAAATGATACGAAGCTAGCGCACGCAGAATATTTTATTTGATTGGAATCGGGATCGGCTTGCGCTTTTAACATACGATTAAGGTTGACTACAGTCATTGGAGGCAGTGGGGACCCTTCGCACCGGCTCCAAGACCTTCCCAAGAGAGCAAGTGGGGGTGATGAACAGCAAGGGGAATCACAAAGGGAAAGAAACAAAAGGACTAGTTACTAGCAGAGACCGATATCCTTCTCAACGAGTTTGGCAGTCGTTGGATGCAAGAATGGACGGTGGGATTTGAAATTATTGATAGCTTGCTGCCGAATAGTTGGCCAGGCCATTAAGGCTCTAGAACAAATACGAACAATGTCGGTTAGGTATGGCACTTTTCGTACAAAAGCGGCAAGGCGATAAAACCTACTTGTAGATTGGTCGAGTGAATTTCATACGGCCCTGACTATTGAGAAACTCCAGGGCACAGTCAACACCGGGGAGGTATTGTGAATAAAGGACAATAAGTGACCATCTAGAAGTGATGCAAAAAAATAGCTAAGTTGATGATTGAGGCCCGGTTTACCAATTACATATATTTGACCTATGTAATCACAAGCTGCCACTAGTTGATTTGCCGGCCTTTTAATCGCTGGTGAAAACAACCCACCTGTTGAGTGAGGAATCCTTGTAAATGAGTTACCGTTTATATTCTACAGTACAATAAACGTCTTTTGCGAGTAAGTGCGTGTAGGCAACGTTAAATATGCTAAACAGCAAATAGGACTGAACTGATTTGCCACTTATCAAGGCAAGGATGCATACATTTCAGCTAGAAGGCCATAAGACTCGTAAGAAACTGATACCACCTGCTTGGATAAATTGAGCTGTTCGAATGTATACCAAGAGGATTGAGCACCGATTATCTTTCGGTTGATAAATCTGCACTGACCGGTATCGAATTTCGGCATTTTGAGAACGAGAGACAGCGAGCATGCTATCGAGAACACGAAGATTGTCATGGGAGAGCGGGATATACTTGAGCAGGCGCTGCCAGAGCAGTTGGCGTTGAAGCGGTATCATCAGCTCGTACTGACAACGAACGTAGGCTGCCGAGTCGGTGTCACTGCCTAGCGGGGTGCTTCTAATGCGCTCAACCACCTGATCCACTACACTCGAGAGTTTACGATCGGACCTAAAATGAGGTGCGCTTCCATGTACATACGCCGAAAATAGGAGCGCCGCATTCAGATTTAGGAAAAAAGAGTCTAGAATTTTGTAATTGGTGTATTCTACAAACTGAGAGCAAATACAATAATCAACAACCTTTTACCACATGCAGAATACAATAAGCAGTGCAAGATACTTGTTGGGTGACCGAACAACATTGACATCTCACGGTGATCGAGTACACCTGCTCGAACATTTGTATGCCTGGTTTAGTGTAAGAACCGGTTTCAATTACTATGGCCAATAAACCAGTACCATCAATAGTTGTATGAGTCTGTAGAACCAAGCAGAAGTGAAAAAACCAGCTCATTCCAGAGGATCCTGTTCTGTGAGACTTAATTCATGAATATCTAGAAAAGTAGTGTCAGGCTCACAAATCATGGCACGACAGATTTTTGAGTAACTTTTTCATAGGATTACTGCATTTACCTAAAAACGCACATAGATGTCAAAACGGCAATCGGCATTGTCTACAGTACTACTGTTGAATGTGTCTGCCTCATCAGGTACTAAAAACAATAGGCATTCAACTTTTCGATTTCAGAAATAGTTCGTTTTCGAACTCGGCATTACCAAAACTAAACTGTGAATGGTAAACAGGTTAGCTATTCATTCAAGTGATGCTGAGAACAAACCCCTTCCACTTGCGGTTTCCTCGTTGTTCTTTTACTAGGCCTAATTCTAGTAAATCAATAGTGGAACTGCGAGACCACTCATTTTCTTAATGAAACCTGTGAAACCATCAAACGGAGTTGTTGACCGTGGATTACGGTTTCTCCGAATTTTTGGTAAAAAGTGAGGCTTACTTTGGAACCCAGGGGATGGGGCCAGAACCATAAAGCCATTCATTCCAGTTGACCTCTTGGAGAACTGTCTGCCCAAGATGGGCGGCCAGAAAGTCCATCCACGTACGCGTACTCAATGAGTGACGACGAAAGTGTGAAATGTATGACTTTAACCACGAAAGTATGGCAGCTAAGAAGAAAATACTTTTTTGTATTAGGATGAGTTAAAAATGCAGTTTCGCTATTCGCGTGTTACTTGCCAACCCAGTGATAATATAGACAATATATTAGACACCCTTATAGAGAAAACTCCTGTAAATAAGCAATAAAGGAAATAGTAAAATCACCTTTTCCATAAGTTTGCTCGAGATAGTAGAGGAGTAGAGAACCCTTCTGATAGGGTATCACAGAGAATGCGTCATCCGTATGAACTCCAGTTAAACACGGGACCATCTTTGCAAGAGGGTGACCTTCTTTAAATTCGCCTAGCTAAAATTTTCAATAGACTCCACATAACTACGTGGTGCATATTTAATGCGCTAAAAAAGAAACCAGAACTGAATCAGCAGAACGCATCCTACAACCACGACAGGAATATTTGAGGACCTCGGCCATTCACAGTGCCGACTTCCTAATTAGCGGTAATAGGAGTCTATTTATAAACGAAAAATGTTTCTTACACAAATCTGTAACTCCTCGTAGCCCAGTTCGATGAAGAGTTCACGATAGTCAGTCCCGTACAGGAGTTCTAAAACAAGTCCCTCCACGTATTTGGTATGGCCTTCATTGAGCCAAAAGTGCTCCCAAGAAGCATTTGTAACCAAATTGCCTGTCCATGAATGAGATATTTCATGAGCAATAACCGACGTCAGCGACCTATCACCGGCCTTTAAGGAAGAGTGCAGTTAAACAAAAGACCGCCTATTAACACGCAACTGACTTTCTGGCTGTCCGCATTTTTCGGCCTAAACTGAGTGATTCCTAACTTACATTGTGCAAAAAATACCCCCACCTATATATATTGGGTTTACTAAATGTTTTACTAACTCCCAATTCTGCACACGTCTGACCCAACAGAACACGAAAGTAAGAACGTGTTGTATCCATTTCAAGCTTCCTTGCTTTTTCCTGGGTTCTGGGTGCAGTCTTACACTAGGGGAAAAAACAGGAATCACTTAGAAAAGATCAACACTTCATGAAAATTCAAAGATCTACACAACGCATGTTAGAGTGGTGGCTAGTTGAACACTTAAGGAGCGCGGTACAAACCGAGATACAGCATGGGTTATCGTGTGAAATATATCGAAGAGTAGCGAAACAGAACTCACCAAGAGAGTCGGCGTAACAAATGTTAGACAAGGGTTCTCCATGCCACCGTATGGGAAACTGGGTGGCAGAACAAGGATATCATAAATACCCCATTCGTATTCTCCACAGAGGCTCTCCGCCGCTGCGATTAAAGTGTCCACCTCGTTAAACTCAAGTTGTGCCCTCGGCAAAACACTTGGCTCCGCCCACACCAACGACCGGGATCCGATTCGTCTACAGTGAGACAGTGGCACTGTGAAGGATAGTTCCATCAATAAAAATACTCATATCATCGGCGTGACGTGGAACAACCATGTTTTGAATATTTGTACATTGACTTGAACTTAAGTGACGACAAATCGCGAGTCTCACATGCTGACAACTAGATCGCAGTATCGACATTAACTCTTTACTTGTAAGTCTCAATTTATCAGTTTGGTACAATTTCGCATTTGAACAGCAGCCACTGCACAAGTCCTCAATTGTGTGATCTGACGGGAAAATGCTTGAAGGGGCCTTTAAAATCCCTAAGCAACTCAACAAATCAGGGCTGTCTTAGTGCATTCCAAGAGTTTATGTAGGTTATTCAGCAACCCAAAATGTCATAAATTACAATTTCAAAATGGCAACATAGAGGTAAAGCCCGGAAATCACTGACTTCTACATGAATATTACTTCAGATTTTGGGCACTTTAAAGGGTCTTCGGTTACTCAGAGCTAATTTTGAAGATGACGAGGTTGATTTTACCAGGTTGTAAGGAAATGAAGGTTTAAGATAGGGACAGAACCCGTAAAAAACAGAACTACGGCGTCATAAACTTTCTTACATGACTACATGTATGGCATTCAGGAGCAAAAAACAAATGACAACTCAGAAACGTTAAGAAAACGGAAGGTAACCGCACACATATCCACTCGCTTCGATAATTTTTAGAGATAACCTTTAATGGTATCTTAAAACGTGTACATACAAGGTTCGCAACATAACATCTGCTACAAAGGTCATACATGGATGCGAATACCTTGACTGCATAGCTTGTTCTGAAAATCATATAGGTCATCCACACTAGAGATCACGTGTTCCGGCCAAGTTGAAGAATTAAAAAAAATATGTGAGGACAGTATTACGGAAATCTGCAGATTTTCACTGCATAAGCAAGGAATTATAAGGATTCAGGCTGTGAATACTTTTGGCAATATTATGGACAAACCAATCTGATCACTCACAACTGATCAAGTAACGGGTAAACAAACCAGTTTTTGACAAATCACACACTACCAAAAAAAGGTGCTAATCAACATCCGAGTTTAATAGAGCATGACTACAGAAGTATAAACGTATGCGTAAGCTACTATCAGCAAAATAGTACATCTTCAAGCTTTTTAACCGCCTCAAGTATAATGAAACTTCAAGGCTCATTATTTGTCCAAGTCCCAGTCGTTCACATTTATGAGTAAGGTTGATAAGTTACGGGTCAAAAGTTGAAACCAAAATGGATACACTTTTATGTAGCTTACACAAAAACATTGGTTAAAACGGAAATGTGCCAATAGATTAACAAGGTTTAACTTTTTTTAAATTGACATAACTTTAATCCGCTTATGCAGCTACTGCTTGGATAAAGTGCAGAATCAGATAATTAGTCACGTAAAACCATAACGTAATAGTTGACGGTATCTTGAGGGAGTTACATGAAGGTCAGATCAAGTTCTCAAGAAAGACAACACGTTTAAACAAATGATTGTGTCTGTTAGCATCTTCTGATAATAATTGAACCTTATTTAAAATTAGCTTACAAGCCCCTTCATGTTTGCATATTGATGCAAGATTTTTAAAAAAAATTGAAAGATCAACTCTAGTACAGCATTGTTACTTCGAGTAATGAGGGAACGGGGCCCAAGTCATTAAAAAGGGATGGAGCAGTTTATCAACGATAGTCTGGGCGAAAATGGAAAAAAAGTAACAAAGAATTAAGGGGGCAGCGTGCACTTACGCAGACACCAACTCCCCACAAGCCAAAGCGACAAGGTAACTAGGAATGGGAATATCTTGCGTGAAAAAGTGCATAGAGGGACTTTCCGGTTCGTCGCAATGACGTGGAGAGGTAGGACGCTGGGCGCTCATCAAAACTGTGACCCCTGGAGGTGCAATCACCTGGGACAGAAAAAGGAACAGTAAAATGTAGAGGCATAACAGAAAATAAGCTTGCAAATCACAACATAATTTGCAAGTGTTTGGACATAAAAGCCTAGAGCCCGGCAAAAGACGAAATTCATGCGATCTTGTGATTTAAGTCTGCGTCAATGGCAATGTGAATATTCTTGTAGAAATAAGAAGACAAAGCAGCGAGAAGGTAAAATCCCGAGCATCGGCAACTGTCAAGCAACTTAAATTTTTGGTTATGGGACTCGAACAAATGTAAATGCGTATATCCAGCAATATTCAAGAAACATGTCATGAGTTCTTTCATCAACACCAAGAGCTGATTGAGGATGTCCACAATATAAGCCAGCACCACAACCCCAAAATGAATGAAATTAACAGCCACTTAAGTAACCATGGATAGGAGTGTTTAATAAATTTCCGGCCTCCGATCTGTCGCGATGTCGGTAAAGAAATATGAAAGTATTCGTGACGGAAAATTTATGAAAATTGAATGACATACACAAGCAGTATAAGTGAACTTGACACGAGGAGTGTCTTGGCAAGGGAACAGACTGCGAGCGTGAATTGCTTGACATTGAGTAAAGAGAAAAGGACATTTTTTATCTGCGGTCATTTGCGCGTCCAACCACTGCAAAGCAGAAGACTGTGGCGTTGTGTCGTATTCGATAACAACAGTAAATCTGTAAACCGAGAAAAACCGGACCAGTGACAAACAACAAAATGCCAGGGATTTAAAAAAAAACTACAATCGATTTACAAAGTATGCAACCGGTAGGCTTATGGTCGCAGAGAACGGCTGTGATTCATAAAAAAAATTCAAAAACAAGAAGGGAGCCAAGCACACCTAATTATTGTTTGAAATCAATGTTCAATGAGGCAGATGACAACTTTTAGAAGGTCAAACAACTTACCCAGAACGCTGATAGCCAACATCAACACACAGAACATTTCCTAAATTTGGATGAGATCCATTTTGAATAGTGAATTCCGCAGGTTTCTCGTTAATATTTACGCACAGTACGTTGATGTCCTTGATGTCCAGTTTCTACAACACGTCTTGAAAATAAGTATTGGGGAACTGGTTGTTCCAATAAGTCAAGCTGGATAGTTCAAAAATGTGACGGAGACAAAACCTAACTTGTAGTTCAAGTTCTATTAAATTAGTAATTCCTATTTAGACAGTTACTGGCAAGAATTTAATAACACCAACGATATTAAGGGATCCTGTTGCATGCTTACAGCTGGCATCTCAAAAAAGCTTTATACAAATTAACTAAAAACTCAAACATAATGGTCTTTTAAGTCATGTATATTACATTTATGTGGAACCACAAACGACTAAGAATTCAACTACTTCATAGGAAGAAGAAACTTACCAAAGCAACACTATCTGCAGAATATAAATCTAAGGGCGTCATATGAAGCGTGACCTTGCCGCTAAGAACTCTTGCATTGAAATCGACCTTCCAATCGAAGTCAACGTGCTGGGTCACGAATAATTCCGGATTAGACTGAGACGATGGGTCTTGTACGGGTTCCAACTTCAAATCCGCGGCCCCCTAGAGAGTAATCATTAGGCGATGTTTTTTTTAGGTTTGCAAATAGAAACGTAAAGACAAGAAAGTAACTTTTAACAAGCTGGAACAAAAATCATATTAAGCATAAGATGGACTTTTATATCAGCCTCAAAGTCCTAGTAGACCTGCGTGTATGCATATATGCATGCAAGATTCAATACATTGAGTGCTTCCACGAGAACTAGTACACACGGACCGGAAAAAAATATCAAAATCTTGACGAAAAGTGGCGTTTTGCAAAAATTTGTAAACAGCAGTTTGAAAAGCCGTCCAACATGTTTCATCAAAAGATATTTGGAATAAAAACATGAGGCGCAAATTTTTTAAACTGTGGGAGATATAACAACGGTAGTGGACAACCAACGCCACCCCCACCACCAAATACGGGTGCCACGTTAAGTAATTTATCATCCATGAACTTCGAGTTCGTGTTCGAAATTGAGCTTCAGAACGTTACACTTTGGCCAGTTCAGGCTAATCACGAAAATAGATACGACAAAGATCATATTAGGACACTAAATATGTAATAAAAATCCACGGTTTTTTATAAAAGACAGTATCAGTGCACGATAGATTAGGCAGGGATTCATTTATGATTACCGGTCGATGCGGACAGGACATGATCCAAGGAGTTAAGACGACGATGTATGGGAAGTTCGGCAACACCGAAGGCCAATTGGTTATATCAAAAAGTCCATCTTTCGTGTAAACCAGGCTAAAAAGGTTAAAACAAGACACATTCGCTTTAAAAAGGATAGCAGTTATAAAAGTTTTTTAAACATTAAAAAAGCAAAAATACATTCTAAAAAAACTAAAATTCAAATAATTAAAAATCAACTTGCAATGAGAAACAACAGAGAGCAAATTTAAAGAACGGTCTCTTGGTTGCCGTAGGATTTATGTAGGACAACACACCACGCACTTAGATTGTTTAATATTTGACATCAAAACTTGTTAATGAGGGACAACACGCATATATGTAGACGAACTTCGGTGGCTAGCTGACACATCTTTGCACACTTCCCGCATTCGAGTTTGAAGATAGAACTCTCCCCGAGT